TAAATGTCTTTCGACTAACGGAAACGATTAGGTGCTTGTTAGTCTTAGGCAAATCGGCAGATAGTTCGCAAGACAGAAGGAGCGGGTTCTCCGGCGATACGTTTACGAAAACTTCCGCTCTCAGAGGCACAGGAAACGCTGTTTCAAGGGAGGGGGAACTATGTCCGTGTATATGTTACATTAAGATCTACGGCTCCGGATTCAACGAGACTCGGTCTCGGTATTCTTTATCGTCCGGCGGAAATAAGGTTGGCCACGCAAATGCTCGGTGTGCACAGGGAACGCGCAATCTGATGTTCCGGACAAAATACCGGCTCGAATTCGTACGATTATCATCGGCTCCGGTTGCGAGTGGATGTTCTTCGTCGGTTTATTTGGGGGGGGGGGGCAGTTTGTTACTCGGAAAAAAATATTAAGAGGAGCCTATGAATTAAAAGAAATCGCTCAGCATCTCAACGGTATAATTAACGGATTCCTTGCGAATAAACAGGTTGCGTCCGTTCCACGAAAGGAATATGTTGAATCGACGAATCTGCGCGGAATTGTTTGGCTTCGAGTTCCGTCGTCAAAACCGTTCGTCGGGATACATCAGCTCTTTCTCACCCGCGGCAACACTTGATCTAGATACCGAACAAAAGATTCCGCATATAGAATGCCGCGAAACATACGTGAACATTCGGAATAAAATATTTCCTAATAGATTGGTTCGTTTGGTCAAAAATATTTTCAAACTAAATATGCTGTTAACTAAAATACCGTTAAAGTATAATTCTCGTTGAAAACTGAAATACTGATGTTACGTTTGTTAATATAATTCCTAGTCACTTGCAGTTATCAATGTGGAAAGTTATCTTCTTCATCCGCGATTAAACAGCATACGGGTATTTTTGGAACACCATGTGTACTGTAAATACTCCAGTGTTCTCCTAACATTGTACAGACCGGCAACATAAAGCCCGATGCTAAACTTATTCTAAGAAGCACATAGAAACGATAATGGGCGTAGCGTAGTTAGTGCACGTGTGCCGCGAACGAAACGGGTTTTGCGTGTTATCGCGCGACGCATCGGCTGCGTTAATGAGAGAATTTTTGAACGGGGTTTTTACGTTTTCGACATTTTAAATAACCTTTACGAGCGCGGATACCGCGATACTCCCCGTAATTACATACAAATTTTATTTTCTCGACGGCGATCTAAGGAATGTAACGATCTAGCTCTTCTGTAAAATTGATTCGGACGAATTAAAAATGGCGAGAGTCCTTTTAACTTACCACATAGAAATCTCTTTAAGTTGCTAGTCATAAATAACAATAATCAAGCTCTTTTAGTCGACATTAACTGACCAGTGTTTTAATACAGAAATTCTGTTTTCTAACGTTGACGACTAGACACTTGTACAACGAAAAATTTCTGACTTCTAACTTAATTTTCACATCTCTAATCTGACGAATTTCACATTTGTAGGTATTCTTGTAAGTTTGTTATCTGAAGACGACCAGTATTACTGGCCGAAACGTTGCGTTTTATTATAATAAAGAATTGCCAGTAAGGTCGTTTCCATACTTACTAAAACTCTTGATTTCTTGACTGGCGTCACTAAGCTGCTATTTTGTTGTTAATACAGAAAATTTATTGCGAACAATATTACCTCAGCCAGGGTTTGAACCTGGACTTCCCTACTCTCTAGGCGGGCGTTTCACCAATTCGACAACTGAGGCATGTTTGGTGAGGCATGAATTGGTGAGACGCCCGCCTAGAAAGTAGGGAAGTCCAGGTTCAAACCCTGACTGAGGTAATATTTTTCGCAAAAAATCTTGTGTATTAAAACACTGGCCAGTTAATATCGACAAAGGCTTGATTTTTAGTCTTTTTAACTGTTATTAAAACTGAATACTTTCATGAATTTATAATTTGCAATAGTTTTACGTCCAATTTGTCATTCGCGGTTCATTCGTCACGGTGCAAAGATCTCGTCCATAGTGAGCGCAAATTTGTGCGCGCGACGCATCGGGATTTGAATAGTTTCGCACAACTCGAGCCGCACGCGCGTAAAATTCGTCCCATTACATCCGACGCGCGCGTACCGGAGCGTGATAAAATTTTCAAACGGGGTGAATCGTCGGTTCGTCGCCGGCACTCAATTCTCGGTAATTCCGATGTCTCTATCATCCGTCGTAAAGGGACCAACGGCGATTTAATCGGGCAATTACGCAAACAGCGTTTAGGACCAAGAGAAACATCCCCTAAGGGCGCCCCGCCGTCGTGACGCGTGGATCGGCTAACGCTCTCTCTCGCCCTCTCCCCGAAGGGCGCAGCCGCGCGGCGAAACCCTCGAAAAACAGACGGACGGAAGCCCCGTCCACGTCTCGTGTTCCATCGCTCGCGCTTTATCCCTTTCGCGTAAATCAGCTTTCCGGAAGTTTTAGAACTGGAAAGTTTATTAAACGTGAGCGCAGTCACGGAGATGCAATTGCATGTGAGAACGATAAAATAGCCAAGTCTCACGTCGCGTGTCTCTTCCTAGTTGAGAAAACGAGAATTCTCGACTACGGGCTGAAGGCGCGGATGCGGGCGTAGAGATACGTGACGTCATTTTTTTTTACTCGCCGCCCACGCGCTATAAAGTTGCAATATGTAATTATATCTACCCGTTGGATAACATCTCGCGGAAATACAATATTTTCTATGAGACGGAGAGAGATGCGGACTGCGAGTAACAATGGCGTTTATTGTTTGTGCACACTTTTCCACTCTTACGGCGAAGATGTGTAATTATTAACAACATAGTTAATTTATTGCCTAATTGACGACAAGGTACAATATCTGTTAAGAGACCTAACGGAAACGGCATTTCCCATAATTGTTTTAACATCTTTCTACGCCTAGTATGTTCGATCTTTCGACTATTGTTGATCCTTTCAATCGATACGGCCATTTTTTGGGAAATCTGATTAAATTGTAAGATCAGCCGAGTGATACGGTCGCAACATATCTGAATCTGTTCATGCTTAGGAGGTCAATGATAGAATAAATCGATACGCGCTACTAAGCGCGGAGGGTATTATTCTTACCAAGTCATTGCTCCGTTCTGTACTTGCGTATTAAATTTTCAATCGCGTACAAAACGCGACACGCGACATGCCATCGGCGTTTACCTACCATTATAACGCTGCGTATGTCGCGACGATCCTCAGGTCATACCCGCTTCAAGGAACGCCTCGAGAAAGCACGCACCAAGCCTACGAAACCCATTTTGTTTGCCGACTTTATGTTTTGTTGACCATGAATCGCGGAATCATCGCGGCAAAGGCGGCACTCGTTACATTTCCGTCCGCTCTATTTGAACACTGGCTGTGGTAATTTCGATAAAACCACCAGATGGTAATATACTCGGGGAAAAAATATCAAAGGTGTCCGCATTAATCTTTTTTATTGTCATTGCGTTGCTCGCGCGACATAAATTAAATATTTAAAAGTTCGATAACACATGCGAGGATTAAACACGTCACTTCGACCATTGAACCCTCACGATCTCTTCGCATACGAGAAGTAAAACTAGAATGGAATTGGAATTAACGTGTTTGGTATATAAAATTTGAAACCAATGATATCCAATTTTAACGACCTACACTGGCCAATGTTTTTATTTGAAAAAACAATACACGTTACAACGTTTCGGTCCCAGATTTGGACCCTTATCAAGTAATCTGTTACAAGATTGTTAAAGATCGCATATTAATTGTTTGGCTAATACCATTGTGACAGTAAGATATTAGTAAAAAAATTAAGAATGTCATAATCGCACTCATTGATTGGGAAGTGCAAAGTCAATTGAAATTGCATCGTTATTCCTTAAAAAATGTACAAGAGTGACGAGAGAACTGTGTTGGATGAGAGATCAAGTTGAACAGTTCAACTACCCTAGCGGAAAAAATTTCTATAAATAACTACAAAAAATTGACTTGAAATATAATTTTGTAGAAATTTTTATATCTTCGTTGAGACATTAATTTTTTTGTAAAAATATCTACGAAATAGTACCACAAAGTACAATGTTCTCAAATCATTATTGTAAGTAGTATTTCATGAAAATGCACAATTTTATAAAAATTAGTACAAAACTTTACTACAATACTTTTAAAAATTTTAGAAAAATCTTGAAGAATTTAAACATCCGCTTGCTTGTAGAGTATTAAAAAAATTAACAAATAACAAAAATGTTCTAATTGTAGCATTTTCATGGTGATTTTTTATAGCACTTTTTAAATTTACGTAGAATTTCTTAGATTCTGGCACTTACATTCAATTTTTTGTAGAATTATTTTCGGCAGGGTACTGGCGTTATTAAATACTACTTGTGATTTAAAATTTGAAGCTTTAGTGCAAATGAAGAAATTGAATGCCAAAAAACTTTCGGATACCTTCGATGCGCGAGCACCTCCCGCCTCGCGCTTTTCTCCTCGCCCTTCTCTGTTTACCTCCCTTTCCGCGTTTGCCCCATCGAATCTGGGTGCACCGTAAATTTTCGTATCATTCACCCTCCAAAAGTGGAAAAAGAGATGTCGATCTCTCGCGTGGGACGAAAGCAAAGGATTACCGTCAAAAAGCGTTTTCATCCCCCGTCCATACTCCGCGCTTTCCTGGGCCTTCCGGTCCCCGCTCATTACCCTCCTCGTGTCCGCACGTGCAGCATGCGTGTGCAGCGAACGATGCCTACGCGCCGGCGGATCCTCTCCTCATCCTCCCCCTCTCCACCCCCTCCCCCCCTCTCTCTCTCTCCTGTTCCTCTCCTCTCCCTGGTTCGCCGAGCGTATTGATTGAGGTGAATGCACGATGCTCGGCGTCGGCGTCGTCGTCTCTCCTGGTCCGCGGACAGGGGTGGAAGTGCATACGGCACTGTCGGGGTACTCGCGGTGGAAGTGGCGAGTCGCGAGAGCTCCCGTTGGGAAGGGAGAAGAGAGGAAGAGAGAAGGAGCGACAGGAAGAAGGAGAGGGAGTGAGACGGGCACGAAGCACCGGTGGAGGAGGTGTTATATACCGGCTGGATCCTCGTTCGACCGTCAGTTTCTCGTACGAACTCGCGGCACCGACACCGCGAGCACCGCAAACACTCGCAGCTGTCAGAGATCGCGATCATCTGAGCCGCGGAAGAAGTTCGCGCGAAGTAGACCCGGCCCGTACGGATTCGCGCTCTGCGCTCGCCGCTCGCGTTCTCGTCCGCGCCCTGGAAGAGGACTAAGCCCCTAACCGGAAGGGCTGACCGCTCGGAAGTCGCTCAGAAGTACCTTCTTCGTCGAACCGTCCTAGGGTTGGGTTAGGTCCTGGGGGATCGCCATGGCCACCTACGCGGCGTACAGGCACGTCGAGCTTGACAATGTCGGATACGGAAAGAAAAGGTAACGATACGTGAAACAGAGAGCGAGAGAGGAAGACAGAGCGGGAGCGTACCGCACTGCGGACTTCCCATGGGCGATATTTCCGGTTGAACTGTGCCGGTTGAATTACTCTTTCAACTTTTACCTTTCAAGAAAAAAAAAGACGGAATAAAACACCGCCTCGCCGTGGCTCATTTTCCAGAAATTGCAAGTTTCCTCGCGTATTTGGAAGTGCGAGGGATACCGAGAGGGAACCAATCAATAGTTCGTCGCGTTTGACTTAAGGTGCACCCAACGTAGCATCTAACCAGACGGAGTCTGCTTATTTCCGTTGTGCAAAGTAATAGTCTCCACTTTTATGCGTGGCTATCATTTTCTGTTAAAAAGATAAAAGGGTAACATCTGAACTCTAACAGACCGGATATTTCCGTGTAATTTATTAATAATTGGGAAAAACTGGTAGATTGTTGAATTCCTTGAGAAGGACCCACAACCCGTATGGTCGGAACGTCGGATTTAAATAAACAAACCATCTGCCAGCTTAAAATCTAACAATTCTTTTTATCGTTAATCAACTACGGGCGATTCACATTCTTTCGTTGTTATTAATAATTGTAACATTATTTATTTAAACATCGAAATCTTTTTAGGTTTCCAGTAATAAATAACAACAAATAAATTTGGTTGGCCTTAACTGGCACGTGTTTAATAAATTCAAAATTTTTTGAATTTATTTTCTTTTATTTATACGTATACATTTTTTGTGAAAACAAACAAACAATATTATTTATTTGTCAAATTTTAATTAAAACCGTAACGACCTGCCATTCAGACAATTATACAATAACGTGGGGGTGCAAGGTTCTTCAGGGTGCGCGTACTGAAATGGCAATAAAGATTTCTCGACGCTTCCCTTCCCCTCTCTTCTCTCGGTTGCGCAAGATTTAGTGCCTTAGTTGAGCTTTGTTAATTGCGAGAGGCGTAGAATGGACGTTGCGAGTCGCGGGGCGAGATGCAGGTGTTGTTCCCAAGCGCAAGGTGAGGGGCACTTTACAGACGGGCGTACTTAAACTGATTATTTATAAGCTCGTGGAAACGCTAGGCTAGCGGAACGTGCGGTTGTTCCGTCAATCGTGACAGGTCTGATCGATTTACATCCAGCCGGTCGTCCCTAGCGATGCGAGCGAGATGCTGCGTCCCGCCGACGATTCGTTGACATTGCAAGTAGTAAGACCGTCTACAGGATGACTCGCGAATAACTCGGAGTCGAATCGAACACGTGAAGGATCACCGTAGTCTTCGCCTCTGTCGATCGTCATTTGCGGGGCAAACGGTATTTCGTGAGCAGTTTTAATTATTACATTAATTACAGAAGCGCAAATGCCTCTCGATCGTCCCGAGTGCATTTAATCGTTAATTAACGGTCGACTTTACCTTAGTCTTACTAACGCGATAAGCGTTATCAGGATACCTCTCTCGGGCAACGTCACTTCCTTCGAAGGATGCCGATAACGAAACGAACACAAGGCAACGTGCGGTTGCAGATAGTAACGGGGAAAAAAAGAGACACTGCTTCCGGATTTCTTATTCTACAAATTTCTATTGACGAAAGAATATCTCTTTAAGTGCTCTGCGCTTATTTACGACGTGACATTTCAAATCTGCGTTCTTCGAATGTGTAACCGTGACCCAGAAACATAACGTGGAAAAGTCTGCATTTTCTAGGAATTTTAACGCGTTTTTCACATACTATCTCTTCGTGGTTAAAGCGACAAAATTGTCTGCACCATTAGCTAAAAGTTGTATCGGGAGAAGATAAAAAGGGATCAGTAGCGGTTAGACTTAGAAAGCGTGACTGCTCCGTGCCTTATCAAGCGTGTTGTGTACGCACCGCGAGAAAGATGGCAATCTCGGCCTTTTTTAATAACTACCTGTGCGAAAATTAATCGACCGATGAATCTCTCGAGCGATTCTCCTCACTTCGAAATGAGTGTTTCGTTGTAATTAAAAAAGAAATTTACCAATAACGAGAAGTAACATGCTTTTTTTTATCGAAATGCCGTAAAATAGCGAGCTCTAACATCAGTACTTTGCAATTAAAACGTTTACAATTAATAAACGTCCGGCTCGCGGTGTTTTTCTCATTTCCACGATCGGGGAGAAGTTCGTGGTTGAAAGTAATATATCGGGTTATGATAAATTACATGTTTCGATACGCGCGCGGACGGGTTAATCCTCCGGCGTGGCGCATAATTGACTACAGATTCCCCCGCACTAATTGACGAGAGCAGCTCCTCGTGGGTGTCCGTTGACCCTGCGGCTGCAACGCACCGTAAGATAGTTCCGAAGGAGAGCCCTCGCGAACGTGGAGAACACGCCGGCCGAAAGATTTATGCAATTGAGCTTCGTTAAAATCCTGGTCAACGCCCTCGCGTAATTGACGTGTTCTCCTGCGCACGAGCGACGGTAATTACGTGGATGTCACCGCGCCTAATTACCGTCCGTCATGATTTTTCACGTCCGGGCTCGGTAAACGAGCGTGCGCGTTCTCATTCAAAAGTATACGGAGATTTCTATCCCCGGTTCGCGTATTAATCTCGGAGGGCCTCTCGGGCGGCGTTCCTCGCTGCTTTGTATTCGTTCCGCGGCGAAAAACCACGAATGTCGCGGAATTCACGACTCGCGAGCCAGGTTAATAGCGACTTCGTGCCGGGTGTTGAATTAATTGCGGCTCCCCGATCGGCGTGCAAGATTAGACGACGAGACTTTATACCCGGGTTAATGGCTTGCGTTCTGAATGGGAGTTCCGTGGTATCGCGCTGCCATTCAAACGTATTCTCTACGCAAGACACGTATTGTACTGTTAGCGTCGAAAATTAAGTTTCAGGTCATGAAAAACTGAATAATAAAAAATCTATTTTTGTACGCGCGTAGGTGCACATGTGTACAACTTGAAAGAGATTTCAATTCGTAGGAATCCATCGCTTCAGCTGGTTGACCAAAATATTGAATATCGAAGAATCGCGTAAACGATAATCGACGCAGTGTCTTAAGAAGAAGGTGTACATTCTGAGAGTTCGGAGAAAGCCGGGGCCATAAAGTAACGGCAACCTCGAATTCAATTTTACCGAAGGTTTTAATGCGCGCGGGTCAGAGGTCAAAGCGCGAGCGAGTAATGAGATCTCGAAGTGCCCGTCCGAATACCGATTTCTCTCAATAACAGCGAATTATGTTTTTGCGCGTGCACCTGCGTCCGACTCGAGCCCGAGTGGTACTTGTTACGGACATGCGATATCATCTCGATCGCAACCGATGCCTATCGACCGGTCAAAAGGGATGAGCATCGGTGCGTGTTTCTGTGCCATCGAGATGCTCCCGTTACAATGCTTTCTCTATGGAAGCTCAACACAGTGGCGGCTTTGTTCCTCGGGTGATAAGCAGAATGATCCCCGGCACGATCACGGAGCTTCTTTGTAACCTGTTCGACGCATACGTGGGATACTTGAAAAATTGCTAACCGCGAGGTCTCTTCCGTCGCGTAGTGTTAAGTAACACGCAATCTCAATCCCAAGGTAAAAGTACATTTCTCGCCGACCCCGGGTCTTCGAGCGGTGCAGTTTTGCATTTAAATCCTCGGCTTCGGATTTTCCTGGCGCGGTAAGAATTTCATTCAATGACGATGTAACTTCGATCCATATGAGGTCCAACGAGTCGAGACAAAAGCAAGGAATGAAACTATTTTTGTTGTTTTCGAATTAAATAACAATTTTAATTCGCAAGGGTTTAGCGTAATTGTGTATTAATTAAAAACTGACCTCGTGTCCTCATTCCGATAAAAGGAACATTTACGTGGTCGCGTGTGATCGTTGCGTGTGTGGTCGGGAAAAGCCTTGCGACGTCGACAAAGCATTAGTGCAATTAATCCGGCAATTCACATCGTTTAGGACGACCCAGGAACCAAACGGAGAACCAATGTCAATTTCATTGGACAGGACGCCTTAAACGGGGTGGGGTCTAATTCATGTAATTATCAATCAGCTATTAGGCTGCTTAATGAACCCTTCTCTAACGAGGGTAATGAGCCGCGTCGCTGATTGTCGTGTGGGTTGAACCGCGCACTTTTCGATCGCATCCTCCACCTATTCTCTGTCTTACGTCTACCTTTATTTCGTAATTACCATGATTATTAGCCCAATTAATTCAATCGACTAGTAAATTATGTACGATGCTTCGGAGTATATAAATTACAGCATTAAAATCATGATAAGAATTGCGATATTCAAAAGTATTGCTGTCGACTTGTTTAGAATCGCTCGATTAAAATCTTGAAAAACCTGAAGTCCTCGGGCAATTTTGCTCAGCACCTAGAGAGCTTTTATCGAAGTTGACTCTCTGAAAATTTTTTTTTTTTGCTTGGAAACTTAAATGAAAACATCCAGAAAATCAACGTATCCTCGGAGGAAATCTTTTTCTAAAATTGGAACATGTTGCTCATTTGCAGATAAATTAAAATACCACGTAAATGAAGAATGCCCGAATCTCGAATTCAATGTCGGGAAGATTATCGTAATCATGCTCGTTAATTGAGAAAATCGCGGATCAAAACGTAATCGCGTGCGCGATTGCGTTAGCAGTTTCGAGCGACGTTCGCGAACGTTTGCCTAGCGGAAAGCGACAAATGACTTCGCGAACGACAACACTTAAGTTTACCTCTGCGACGGCTCGCACGCGATCCTCTCTTCAATTTCCTCCGCGTGTAAAACGAACCGTTGCATTTCGCATATATGCACATGTATAATGGAAGAAGCATCGCGTTACGAACGACGGGACGTCTAGCCAACCCCCTATCGACGCGACGCTCTTTATTGGAGGATAGGGTTACTCACCCTCGTGTCGCGGAAGGGCGACATTTGCCACCTTCGCGGACGTGAGCTCGTTGGGGCTTCGCGAAAAAAGTAAAAGAGACTTTACGAGACGCCAGAAGCCCCGATAATGAAGCGTCTCATCTCCCACTTTCTCTC